CCGGGTTCGATTCCCGGCCAACGCAGCTGTTTTGCACCGAGAATCTTGAGGCGTCAATTGTTGGAGATCCTGTTTCTATTATCGAGTAAACTGCCCACCGAGGAACATATTTAATGTATATTTCATGTTATATTTTAGAAAATAAAGCAGCAGAGAACAGCTGATTAACTCACAGTGAACTCTATAATACTGCAGGAAGTGTCTGTAGATTAACAATCACACAGACTGAATAGGTTTCTTCTGACAGACTCACTGTTTTAATTCTCATTGTTCTATTAGTTCTGTGGTTGTTTTATATCAGATTTTATGATGCTGTTGTTCTTTGTACTACAAAGATTGAACTCACAGGAATAAATCATTTATTCATTGAGCTTATTGTTTATTTCATTTTAATGTTATTTAGTACCTTTTATTTTATGTTAAAAATAAATATAAAAAACAAATATGTAATTCTTCTCTCGTTGCTTTTTCCTACAGCTCCTGAATGCATCGGCCGTGAGCTCTGTGTGTGTGTGTGTGTGTGTGTGTGTGTGTGTGTGTGTGTGTGTGTGTGTGTAGATATGGCGAGGTATTTCCGCAGCGAGGTCGACATTAAGAGTCCATGGCATCAGGTGCTGGCCGCCTTCTGGCAGCGCTACCCGAACCCGTACAGGTAACGTTGGTTCTGCTTTATTTAACTCGTTTATCATCAGTTCTAAAGTTCTAAAGAGTTCTAAAACGGTCCTCTCCTTTTACCGTAATAAAGTTCTACCGTATTTGTGACGGTATATTTTACAGCGCCCACGTCCTCACCGAGGACGTCCTGTACCGCGAGGTCACCCCCAGCAACCACCTGTTGTCACGGCGACTGCTGACCAAGACGAACCGGCTCCCGGGCTGGGCCGAGCGCGTCTTCCCCGCTCACATGGCCCGAGCCGTGTACGTCCTGGAGGACTCCATCGTCGACCCGCACACGCACACGCTCACCACCAAGACCTGGAACCTGAACCACAACACGCTGATGGTCAGAGCTCCTGTCAGTTACAGGTGTACCTTACAGGTGTACCTTACCTGTTGTCGGATAGCGGGGCTCTAAATGTGTGTTCAGACTGAAAGCAACCAGCTTTATGTGACCACTGCCCCGTTTGTGCAGTCCGAGTTTAACTGTCGCAAACAGCCAGTTTACCAACGACAGCTGTAGTGTTGAGCAAGTTACTGAAAAATAGTAATTAGTTACTTTTCTCCAAGGTAACTGAATTACGTGTGCAGCCGTGTTGTGTTCAGGTTGTGCTGTCTGTCTCTCAGACGGTGGTAGAGCGGTGTTTGTTTGAGGAGGACCGCAGTCGGCCAGCTTGGACCAAACTGAAGAGGGAGGCCTGCATCTCGTCGGGGGTCTACGGCCTGGCCCGGCCCATACAGGTGCACACACACACACACACACACACACACACACACACACACACACACACAGGTTTATATTTTGTCTCAGGATTTACATTACAGATTATTCTGGCCTCCACTGGGGGGCGCTGGAGAGTTGGAGGGAGGCAAAAGATACCAGATGTTGTGAATTTGAGTCATACCTGAAACATACTGATGTCATTCTGTGTGACTTCCAGAGGACGTCATCAGCTCCGAACCGGGTTCTTGATCCAGAACGGAGCCGGTTCCCCGTTGGTGAAGAATTAGAGACGTAAATCCAGAACTGGACTTTAACTGTTTGTGTCTCTTTGCCAGGAGTTCGGTCTCGCCAGGTTTAAAAGTAACCAAGCCAGAGCCATGAAGGGGTTGGAGTACGCGCTGTCCAAGATACAGAGTAAGCCACTAACTTCTGTTCTGTACTGAGGACTCTCGGGGACGTGGACCAGCCCCTAGTGGCCGTTAGAGGGACTGCAGGCCTGTTTCCTGCCTGGTTGCCTCCTGGTTTTGCCGCCTTGTTGAAACGTTCCTGTTTGTTTTCTTTCATGATGCAGCCGAGGTCGCCGCGGAGTCGTCAGAGAAGCACAAGCTCCTCCCACCGCAGACCACGCCCACCCCGACTACCCAGAACCCCAAGCAGTTTGTCTGATGGGCGGGGCTTCAACCTCAGCTGTGATTGGTCGCTGCTTAGAAGCTCAGGCATCGTTCTCTGAACTACAATAATTCCCAGGATTCATTGGGAATGATTTAAACTGTCTTAGTAAAGTAATTATATGTTTTATTCTCTAAACTTTGTTCTCTTTGAATTTAATTGTTTTTATTTAGATGATTCTTTAATATATAATTTAGGCAGTTTGTGTAGAGTTTAAACGTTTTTGTTATTTAAAAACAATATTTAGAAATTACGTATTTAAAATCTAAATTTTCATCTTTGAGACTTTATAAATATATCAGATTGTACTAATGTTATATTTTATTTTCTATATAGATTATATATGTTCATTCTGTTGAAGCTGTTCTTTTTGTTTTGTCCTCGTTTTTATATTTTTATACGATCAGTCGTTTTCATTTTGAGTTATTTTATTTTATAATATTTTACTAACTGTTTTTTGTTCTTTGTTGTTTTGCAGCTGTTCCATCTGGAACTTTTGCATGTTGAATGAATTTTAAAATCTGTATCAGGACATTATGGAAATAGTTACACACACAGTGAGTTTATCATCAGTCTGTTGTACAGAAGCATGTTTCATATTCTGAACAACCGTTAGCACATCCTCACCGCCATCATCGCCCCCTGGTGGTCGCCTCCGTCCGGCTGATTAATGGGAACAGTTTGATTTATGTCACATGACACAATTAGCCAAAACCTTTTTAGATAGCAGAGTTTATTGCCTCTCACCGGCTGTGGAGTTTATTATATACGTGGCTACAATAGATTATTATTTTATTATTTTCCAAGGCTCTGGCCCTGCTGGTTCTACTGGTTCTGCTGGTTCTGCTGGTTCTACTGGTTCTACTGGTTCTGCTGGTTCTACTGGTTCTACTGGTTCTGCTGGTTCTACTGGTTCTACTGGTTCATGTTTCAGACAACAGCAGGACACTCATTCACTCTTCTTTAACTTGCTGACATATTTACTCATAAACTAAATGAACGTAGTCTTACACTGAAACTGATTAAATCAAACATTTTAAGTAACATAAAGTCAATTTTGTAAATTAAAAAACATTGTTGATTAAGTAAAGTTTGTTTTCACTGTACAAATAAACAAGTGAAGTCAGGGTCACTTACAGTTCCTACAGATACTTGATCAAGACTGTTTTTTAACTCAAAAATGTACTTTATGTTACTTAAAATCAGTTTAAACTTTTTAATGAAAACCTGTAAATGTAGAGTTGTTCAGTCATTGAAACACCTGGAAATGATTAAAATGAACAAAAATCCTGGAAATAATCTGCGTTGTCCTGTAAAACTGTATTTTAGCCCCTCACTCACACCCTTTTTAATTTCTGCTTGTTACTTTTTGTTATTAATGTTAGATTTGTTGGTTGATAATTGTTCATCCAGAAACACTTATACTTTCTACCTCTTCTTTTAACGGCCTAGTTTAGGGTTGAAGATGAACTTTCTGTAAAAAATAAAATGTGTTCCACTTGATTTGATGTGTTATTTAAACTCTGCTGAGGCTGCAGATAGTTTCCATGAACACAGACCACTATGTGAGCTGTCCTGTATCAAACTCCTGGTCACTGACTTCTTAAAAAGAGAGGGAAGCAGCAGGTCTTGTGTTAGCAACATGTTAAAGCTTTCTGAAAAATCAATTTCCAATCAGTCACATTCACTCGTGAACAACACGTCTGTATATTCTTAGACCCTCTGTCCCCGATATCTGTAGCTGTGAGCCATAATCCGTCCATTAGGATGAACATTTGATAAGATTCAAATGATGTGCATTCAAATCAGATTTGCCGACAGCGCCCGTCCTCGTGTGCCCGTCTGGGGTTTAACCACACGTCTGACTGCAGATTGGAAACTATTAAATGATTTGATTTGTTCCCTGGATTAATGTAATACGTCTCAATTCACTTTCACAGCTCAGAAATAGTCAAAGACAATTAAACATGAATAAAATAGTGACGTTCTGACACCGATCTATATATATATGGATCCTTTAATCTGTCCAATAAACATTTGACTAATGAGGATGTGTATTCAAATTAAAGTGTGTCACAGTCTGGAGCGCAGAGTCAGTGCGTCCGCTTCTTCTGCAGCCTGGTTGGAGACGTCGGAGCTGCTGCACACAGTTAATGTCGGGAAACAATCGTATCAGAGTCGGACGCACTCGGACCTGCAGTGTTTCTGAGGGGCCCTAGAGGTACTGAGGAGTACTGCAGGGGGATTGTTTTATTTAACCTGATTAAGTTCAATAAATTAAATAAATCACTTCTAATATACAATCGTAAAGAGACTGCTGAAAAGAAGAAGAAAGCAACACAACCAATATTGGTTATATATTTTATTATTTGCACATATACACGATAAATATATAAATACAACGACAGCAGAGGATGAAGATACCTCCTCTTTATTAGTATCTTCAAACTTTAAATACAGGTACAAACTAAGATTCAAGCAGCTGAAATAATATACTGAGATCCACAAACTCATAAAGATAGATGTAGATATTGATTGTAGTGATGGAAGTAGATTGTTTGTATTTCAGTGAATGTTGAAGGAAGTTAAAATGTAAATAAATCCTAAACATTTTATATGAGGATAAATTAATCTGTAATAACAAGTTAAAATACAGAAATGATTCAACAATGAACAAACTCAACTGACACCATTACGATGTTTCCCTGTTGATTTAATTTGAGAAACCAAAGATTAATATTCTAGCTTTTTCTATTTGTTACAAAATATCATAAAATTAGATTTATTTATGTTTAGAGAGTTTGTTCGTTTAGAAATAGAAACAGATGCTAAAATGTTCATGTGAAGCAACAAGATTGAATCATCAGCAAATAACAGAAGTTATAAATAATGTTTGTTCACTGTGAGCAGAAAGTTTCCACATTCACAGTTGAAACGTAGCGACTGAAAACACAAAGAAAACAACAAAATATCATCAGAAAATGTTTTTGTGCTTTTCCAGTTACAGGTTGTTTAATTATGTCGTGTTTGTACCTTCTAATAAAGGTTTTATTTACTATATTCAGCAGCCTCCAGTGAACACAACCTCAGACAGACAGAGGACAGTCTGACGACAGCGGTACCGAGGGGATTTATGGAGTTTACAGATGGACTTGTTGCTAAAAGAAGCTAACTGGCGCTCGTGCTGCTAACGTTAGCTGACTTAACCCCGAAGCGGCAGCAGCCAAAATCAATAATAAAACCACCTCAGTACTTTATTCCCTGCAGTCAAACTGCATTCAGTCCTGGTCTGGAGTCCACTAATGGATCCACTACAGCTGCTAGCACACAGCGCTATCGGCTACAGGCCAGAAGAGGACTGTAGATTAAAACGTCTCTTTATAATAAAACAATAAATATCATCCTCAGGTGATTATACGCTAATGAAACACACCAGTGAATATTACATTTCTGCCCATTGAGTGTTACGGACTTTACGTTAACCAGCATTAGAACTGAAGAATGGCAGTTTTCCCGCCCTGTGTAGAAACAACAGAGGCGACACCAGACTGCTGGGCAGGTTGAACCAGATGGCCGACATCATCGCCACACAGCCGTCGGCGTCGCTCAGCAGTGGCGAGGCATCCAGAGAAAGACACACGAGAAACCCGACGAACAGCAGCCACAGCACTCCCATTATGGCCACGATGGTGTAGAAAGCTCTCTGCTTCGATTGGTCGACCCGGTCCTTGCCCGCCTCCCCCGGGCCCGGGCGAATCAGGACGTGAAGAACCGAGAGGCTGCAGAAGGAGACGACGAGTAAGGAGAAAATCAGGATGCCGAAGAACGGGATGATGGGCATGTCGGGCCGGTACAGAACGGTAACGCCGCTCCACCCACAGCACAGCAGCCAGACGCACCCAGTGCTCATATTTCTGATCCTGACCCCCGCCCGACTGCTTCAGACCCCGGTAGGTGATGGGGTGAACGACCGCCAGGTAGCGCTCCACGCAGGTGAGGATGTGGAGGAAGATCTGTCCGGGGAAGATGACGAAGAAAGCATAGAACCCCGCCATCATCAGCTCGGGGAGATCTACGTAAGCGCCGCAGCTGTAGAGGCACCACCCCGCCACGTTGATGAGCTCCATGGCGGCCATGTGGAAGGTGAAGACGTCGGCGTGGCTCGTTGATTTGAAGGAGCGCTGCTGCTGCCGCCATCGCTGGTGCCCCAGGGAGAAGACGTAGATGGTGAGAGGGAGGAGGACGACGACTTTGGTCACGGTGAAAGCGACGGGGATGTAAATATTTACGCTGT